TGTGCAACCCATATAATACAGTCGGCATCACGGTTGCATCGAATAGCTTCAACCGGAGTTTGATGGATACATGTCTGTGGTCACGCCTCTGCACAAATCCGGCCCTGCCGATGACTTCAATAATTATCGGCCTATAAGCTTGTTGTGCTGTGCACTGAAAATCTTTGAGCGGCTGCTTCTCAAACACGTGTTCCCCAGCGTGAGCCCACTTCTTGATGAAAGCCAAGCTGGCTTCAGGTGGGGCGCAGAAGAGCAAATTTACACCCTGGTGGAAACATTGCGTCTGCGTGCTCGCAAACGCACATTTTGTGCGTTCGTTGATGTGCGTAAAGCGTTTGACGTTGCATGGAGAGATGCAGTTCTAGTCAAGCTCGCCGAAATCGGTATCAGTGGCTCGTTGTGGAAGGTTCTTGATGACCTTCTGTGTAGCACTCGTGCAAGCGTTCTGGCGAACGGCGCGTTATCTGAATTGGGAGGAGCATGCTGGGGTACGTCAGGGTAGTGTTCTTGGCCCACTGTTGTGTTGTTCAATGTTCTCTTCGATGGCATTTCTGCGGCCGTGCGTGCTGCCTGCCCGGGTGTTGCCTTAGGCCGTGCTTGCAATGCCCCCCAGGTTACCCTGCTTTTATATGCAGATGATCTGGTAGTTTTGGCAGAGACTCGCCAAGAGCTGCAGCGTGCTCTTGATGCCATCGGTGCTTGGGGTGCTCGCTGGCACTTCTCCTTTGGGATTGGCCCTGACAAAACAGCCGTCCTTGTGGTTGGCAATAGGTCCGTGGACTTCCACTTCTCGCTTCAGGGCTCTGTCGTCCCGGTGGTATCCGAATACTGCTACTTGGGTGTTGTCTTCCAAGCATCCAGAAAGTGGAAAAAGCAGACAGATCGTCTTCTTGAGAAAGGTGTGCGCAAGTTCCACCAATCTATTGCTTGGGCTGAAAACCGCGGGTTGCACACCGGTTTTCGCCGCAGCCTCTTCCAAGCTTATGCGCTGCCTTCCCTACTACATGGATCTGCTTTCCTGGATGACGGATGTGTGCGCCGGCTTGATAAGCAGGTGCGGCAATGGGGTCGCCGCTTATTGGGTTGGCCTGCAGGTGCCCCAAGTGCAGCAGTCATAGGTGAACTCGGTTGGGCCCCTATCTCTGTGGAAGTCCACAAAATTCAAGCAAGCCTATTTGGCCGTCTTTGTTCAGCTGACCCGCATGGTGCCCACCGCAGTCTTGCTGCTCGCATTTTTTTCGATATGCTCTTGGAATTCCCTCCTCTTGGGCGCATCAAGTTCGGTGCGGTCTCCGTAATGCCGGTATACCTTTGCCTGTTGCCGCCGGAGTCGTGCCTGGCTGTGACTACCGGTCCCTTGCTCGTTGGAAGCACCTTTGCCCGGCCGGCCCTGGACCAGCTTGGTTTCCAACTTCGTCAGGTTGAGGTAGCGCAGCTTAACTCTTTCACACTTTTCAATCTGTGTCATCCTTGCCTCAACTTTCGTTCAGATATTCATTCTTCCAAATTGCCAACGCATGTGGTAAGGGAGTGGACACTTGCTCGATGCCGCAATCATCCCTGCATTGATGGGCACGCTGCTCGCCAGTGGTTTACGTCACTCCTGCCTGTGCGGGTCCGATGAGTGCAGCCTACTTCATGCATTACGGGACTGCCCTCTGTTCCTTCACTGGGGGAGCGCGTGGTTGAACCGTTTGCAAACCTTAGGCTTCATTGACATCGAGACGCTATCTGATGATTTGCTTCTGAATCTGCTGTTCGCCCCGAGTGGTATGCAGAACACTCGCGCCTCCAACTGTGCGCATATGTCTTTCGTGGCCGGCATTTGCCAAGCTCAAAGATCGTTGCTCGAGGGCTTGGAGCCCCGTAGTAGCACGTGACGACACATCTGAGCTGTTTTGTACATATATTCTGGCCTTGCCTCTGAGCTCTGAGTTTCACACTCTTAGTTCTTAGTTACTGACCGCTGGACGGTTGTTTCAGGACTCGTGCTGCTTTGGTTTCAAGCTTGATGGGGTTGGGGCGAGAGGGTCAGGATATAGGAAACAGATCGTAATCAGGACTTTATGCTCTGAGTTTTGGAAACTTTATGCTATGCCATGTACGCGCCAGGGCTTAGGTTTTTCTTGAGGCTTTACCGTGTACATTTCGTGGTTATATATAAGGTTTGCTGAATGTCTCGCAGGTTGTTCGGGAGTTGATCACACTTCCTCGATTTGGAAGCTTTGACTCAGCTGTTTCTCAAACATGCGGGTTTTCAGCTTTGACCCTGCAGAGATTTGTTACAGGCTACGGAAGTCTTACGCTGCGAGAATCTGCACTGTTCACCGTTGGCGAAGGCTTTTGTTTTTCCAGGAATTTGCTTGATTGCTCTGTTTCGGTTTTTCCACTGTCGGGCACATACCATACTTACACCCTTGCGAACATCCATGACCGGAGGATGTAAAAGGCCATTTCACAGTAATCTCTCGCGTTGCGTGGCGAAGGTTACCGAGGCCATTTTACAGGGATGCGAGGGTGTTTCTTGGCATCCACGGGTCGAGGTAAGCGGGCGGTTTGGAGCTGAAGCTGCCTGCCTCCTCCCTGCTTGATAAAGCACGACACCCAGGGCCGGTGCTCAGATGCCCAGGAGCCGGCACTGCTCCGAGGACGAATGGAGACGAGGGTTGCGTCGCAGCACAAGGCTTCGCCGTTACTCGTTGCTCCGTAGACAACGAAGTCGAGGCTGCAACGGTCGTCGGCGTGCACTCGCGGCGCGGTTGACAGCCACTGTTGCGGCACGACCCGACCTTCCGGACCGCTCGCGAGCGACCTCAACCCATGCCCTGTCAATGACAAAACCACGCCGGGGCAGCAGGCCCGTGCGGGGGCAGGCGAGGTGGTGGTCCCCGTATGCATCAATATATTTGACGGCTAGGTAGTTTTAGGCGGCTCTAGGGTTCATGGTTTTGCGTCCAGGGCTTACATATCAACTTTTACGCGTGTTCGGCTGTAAGCTCGGGTTTGAGGCTCGGCCTGAGTGGGGTCCAGCTTGCGAAGGCAGTCGCAGGGTTGCGCGCACGTCACAAGCGGCCACACAGCAGCCCGCTGCCAGCCACGCAGTGGCCGTGTCATGCCGTGTCACTGTGCGGAGGGTGTGGCGCACCCGGCGCAGCCTCAACGTCACAGTCAGGTACTGGAAAGCCGCTCTGTTTCGCGCATGTGCGCAAGGTTGCTGCGGTGCAGGCAGCGGCCAAGGCGGGCGGCGGGCCGGTGTGCAAACATTGCATGAGGCCAACTCGCAACCGTGCCGCATCATCGGGCAAGAGTTGGAGGAGCGCAAAAAAGGCATCCCGCCACCAGCCCTTCGAGGCGGCTCAGATCGCAAACCCAGGCCACCTAACCCCTGCACAAAAGTTTCCGTCCCGAGTGGAACACCGCAACGAGCCCTTGCCGCTTTGGTGGCAGGGTCCAAGTCCCGACCCAAACGTCAGCGGCAGAGTTGGGGTCTGGCTGGAGCGCAACGAGGTTCGGCGGTTCCTCGCCAACTGCGTCCCCAACACGGGTCTTGCCTTGGTTGAGCTGGACCCGGGCATGATCCCAAAGGGCATCTGCGAAAGTGCCATGGGGGGTGGCGACACGCTCGGGGGCACACAACGGCGTGAAGGGCGGCGTGCTGGGCCACTGTGTGAAGCATGGGGGGGTCGCCTTGCTCGCCGCCCTCGGCTTGAAAGACCTCGTGTTCGGTGCCGACATCGTCGGTCCAGAAGTAGCTGCTCTCGGTGCCGCAAAGCTGGTGAGCGAAGCAGCGGCGGGGCTGAGGTCGCAGGCGCAGCCCGTCGAGCATGGCATGTCGGGAGACATGCTCGAATGCCCCTGCATAGGGCCCCAAAAAGCACATAAGCAAAAGTTCGGATAAGGATATTCCATATCAAACCCCTTATAATGAAACCCCAAAGGCTATAGGGTAGGGATATCCCTATAAAATGCTTATGCCTATGTCTTGTTGGGGTCCCTAACCCTAACTAGGGCGTCGACCGACAGGACGGTAGTGCTGCAGCGAGGTGCCCTGAACGACTCACCAATGTAAGATATGCAAATGACATCCTATTGCACGCAAAGTCATGGAAGGAAGATTCTTGTCAGGAGCTCGGCAAAGTTTGATTTCAAATGAAACCGCACAAAAACAAGGTATTTACAACTCTTGCTGTTGAATCGCTCTTGTATTTCGACGTTCTGGCATGGTGGACGTTCTCATGCGGATTCTGTGCATAAGCATTCGGGAAGGCATACATGTGGCATGGAATTTCGGTTACACCGTCAAAAGTTGACAAAAGGACATGTATTCATCAAACTTCGAATGAAGCTATTCAACACAACCGTGACATACCGTGACACACATTATAATATGGGTTGCACACTCTTCCGTGGACACAGCAACAACTGCAAGAATTGGATACTGTGCTTCGACGCATGGTTCGGTCCATGGTAGGGTGGATCCGCGTGGCCGACGAACATTGGCATGAGCCATCATGAGACCATGAAACGTATGAACTGCGCATGGGAAAGGCTGTCAAAACGTCAATATCATGTTGCATCCCGACTTGCTGAGTCCGGACAACCGGGCACGGCACGTCTGCGCCTGGCATCCGGCCATCAATTGGACGGAGAACTTTACTTTATGTCCGTATCGCCGTCCTGGTCGTCCCCTCACAAGACTCCAACGTGGAAGCAAGAACAGCCTGGAAACACAAAGCCCGCGAATTCGTCAGAGACTTTATCGTGCTTTTTGATTGCTTGTTTTTTTCACTGTTGCCGTGGGGCGGCCGCCAGCTTTTGCAGGAACCACTCGAGGCAAGAACGACATGTGCAGCAACCTGCCAAGGAGCAGCCACACCTTCGACACAGCTCCGCCAGCAACGCGCCCCACCCGCCGTCCGGCACGCGGCAGCCGCCGATGCTCATCCCGCTGGTGAAGCTTCTCGGGGTAACTGTGTGTGCAGCAAACCGTCCCAGCATAGCACTGGGGGCGGACAAGGCCTGCTCCGCCCCACCCAAGCCACGCCTGGAGCGCGTACTTTGGCGGTGCCGGCATGCAGGCCCCAGTCGGTTGCCATTGCACGGGTAGTAACGTAGGTGGTCAGCCTGCTCACGACGGGACGGCGTTTTGCATGAATCGTGGGACATTCCCGAAACGTCAGCACTCCCTCTTCCTGCCGTTTGTGCGGAAGTGGCTTGACTTGCACTGCGTTCCCTGATGACGTAACAACCTCCACCCACAACGTGCGTCACAGAAGGCGCTAAATCGAATCTGTGCGTTCGTTCGCTTAGGACTCAACGTGGGCATACGTCGCTGGCTGTGTGCCTGCGTGCGAACTCACTGTGGACTTCCTTTAGCGTTCTCGCTGCTTTTTGACTGTAGGTGGACCAGTAACCGGGGCAGCCCATCGGGGCGGGAGCCGGCTCGGGAGGGGGTCCCAACATGCATCGGCCACGGCGTCAGAAACAGGAGGTCCGCAACGCCAAGCATCTCATGCCGGCTGCAGCTCAAGCAGAGAGGCTTCGTACGAGCGCTGCGAGGCAACGGAGCAGTGCGAACGAGCGTGCGACCCACATGCAGCAAGCTGGGCGTGGTGATCAGCAAGGAGCTGCAGGAAGGTGGCGGCTTCGCTCCCGAAACACCCACCAACCTTGACGCCAATAACAACCAGGCGGCATCGGCGCACCCGGAGCAGTTCAGGGTAAGTGTGGTGGCGTTTGCGACGGCCTGCCACGTCAACGGACTGGGGTTGTTGGTCATCCAAGGCGAGCTAGGAGCCGTGCCAAAGGAGAAGGCCGTTCGCAACGACATTGCGGTCGTGCACCCACTCATGCTGGTTGGGTCGAAGCGCGTGCTCGCCAACCTCCACCGTGCTTGCGAAGGGGCTGCTCTGTGCAATAGCAGGTGTAGCTATGTTGCATGATGGAGCCTTGACGAGTGCGTTCGCAGGGTATTTGCCAGCAGCCCGCGCAAGGCAAAAGAAGGTGACTGCATCTTCCATGCCGAAGCCACTAGGCCGCAGCGACGCGCTAAGGTCTTCAAGAAAGATACGTCTGGCGCCGCTTTTTTGCTGCAGCCTGCGTCAGCGCTGTGTCGGCGTGCGCCCAGCATCCCTGGGCACAAGGCTCATCAACGATTGACATGGCCCGTCAGCGTGGCGTCGATTACAAGCACTGTAAGTGATTATGAGAACGGCGATCAGTCCAAACGAAAACGAGGTTATCACCATCGACGAATCAAGGGGACATTATTTTCACATTGTGAAAAGTCAGTGTTGCCATGAAGGTTCTTCGTGCCTCAACTTCTGACTGAATTGGCGAGGGTCGCATGGGTCCTGCACGGCTTCCCTTCTTGAACTGCCGCTGGCCAGCGAGTGCCAAGGAGGACAGGTGATTGACCGCTATGGCAACAGGCCATGTTTGCCTGCTTGATGGGTCATGCCAGCTACGGTTTGCAAGATGTGTTGCCGTCGCTGCTCCATGTACGACTTGTCCATGGTTTCTGTTGCGACGGTACAGCCGCGGTGAGAAACTGTTCCCGTGCCTGACACACGCAGTCTGCTTTTTGAAAACGAGGGGCTTTGTCTTGAGCGCAAAAAGAAGGAACATTCACAAACGAGCACAACTGTCGCAGTAGTACTTTGAATTCAACAGGGATATTGCATGTTCTACTGTTTGCATTTCGATGCACTGCGGTTCCCTGGAGACACTCATCACATCTCGTCATTCTGCATTGCGGATCTGGTGCTCTTGCCTATTGACAAGCTTGCAGTCGGAAAATGTCAAGTGGATGCAATGAGCAGCATCAGCCGTGGTTTACACTATTGCTTTGAGTTCACGGCTGGGAGCTACATGCGATGGCGGTTCAAGTGCCAGGGCGGGCAGCAATCTCAAAGCCCTAGAGGAAAATCATAGGCTTGGTCTTGTATAGGGTGATTGGCTACATGGCCATGGCCGACCGCCCTCTATCAAGCGAGCCTGCAAGCACGTTTGCGCCAAGGAGGTGGCAGTAAGCCGTTTGTGCTTCGCGCTGTTCTTTTGAAAGCAAGCGGAAGGAGCTTCACGACCCTTGCAAAACAACAGATCTTCCCCGCATGCGAAGACTTGAGCTGTAGATTTAGCGGGCATTGAAGCACGAGCAATTTTTTGTACCGTGGAAACAGAGTCATGCTACTTTGGCCCGAACACGGCAGCCGACAAGCAACAAGAAGGTTCAGTTTGAGGTAATGTGTGCAATGTGACGGCGTGAGCACAAAGGTGGCTTACATCAACCCCACATGACGCAGCTGGCCTCTCCAGCAAAGACAGGCTTTGGCCAGATGCTTGAGAACACCAGCGCATTGAAACACCATGGCCAACTTACCCTCAAACGGATCGGGTATTGACAGTGAGCTCAGTCTTGATCCTGGCACCGGCGGATTCCAAGAATGCCAAGACCTGTGGTTCGCGAAGGTAGCTCAACTGCTGCTACGATGGATTAAATTCCACCGCAGATCAACGCATCTTTGACAGATCACACCAAGACATGCACGAAATTGGCGACGGCCTCAAACGGGCTCAGCAATCGTGGGGATAGCACAAGCACGAGAATTCGAAAGGCACAATGGAAAATGCTCTCATGGCCTGGGGTGCCATGCACGGAGCATGCCTCTTGCCTCTCACAGCCGTCCCACCCTTACAGACTTTGTACGCAGACGGTCTGAGCCTGAAGTTGCAAGAGCATCAAATGTTTCGACACCTCGTCCAATTCTGAAGCCGGCACTGCGAGCGGCCAGACATGCCACGATGTGCACACGGAGCCTCGATGGTGAAGCGTGCCAAAACCCCGAGCCAAATTCGAAAGGCTTTGTACCTCAACAACGGTTGCCGGCTGCATGAGAAATATCCGATTGATGAACAAGTTTGGGAGCCTGAGGTTCTTCTCGTCTTTCCAGCCCATAGGCACTGATGAGATCAATTAACGATCACCTTGCCGACGCCATGCATGGGCAGAAGCACAGGAGTAGGATGCGTGCCGAAGGCCTTCGCAAAGCCGGCCATGCAAGTGACCGCATCAAGGATGCCACTTCACGCGGGTTCCAGGTGGACCTCTTCCGCCGCAAATCAACATGATTAGCTTGCAGCATTAACATGTTGATGCTGCCCTGCGGAGTGTTGAGAAATCCGAGAGAAAGACTTGTTCAGGCGGAAGGATGCCGTTGTCTTCTCCATGAAAGCCAGATGCCGGGCTCGAAGCTTTGCCAACGACCAACCTCTGTTCGACATCTCCTCGGCAGATCTGTACCAACCGCCACCCTGAGTCATCAGAAAGCCTCTAGGATGCACTCCTGTGGACTGGGCCAGGAAATCTTGTCCAAGCCGTCCCCCACTGCTGCATGAGTTGGCAGAAGATCTGCCTGGCCACGGCCAAGGCTTTCATGCAGCAATGTGGGAGCATGCAGCTGCCTGCTGCAACACCGCAAGGGTTCAGCCTGTGTTTTCCTCACTGACACAGCTTTGCTATGCGGTCAGACAAGTGTGAAATCCAGTTGAGCTTCACACAAGTGCTTGAGGACGTGCGTCTGGCTTCAATCGTGGAAAAGTCGAAGCTATCACCTGCAAGTCTGTTCGCGCCGTCTCTGTGCAAAACCGTTGATGTTGTGGCACGAAGCTGATGAAGCTGCAGATGTGGCCTTCAGCAGAGACCTGCTGTGATACGACAGGACCTGGGACGCTCTGCACCGACCCTTGTGGCAGGCTCTGGACCAGGGAAAATGATCTCAGAAAACGGCTGCATGCGTCCATGAAGCGTTCGAAAGGTTTTGCGAACCTCGGCTAAGTTTCCAGCTTGTGAACATACGAGCACTGTTTATTGAGAGAATCCAGCTGAGGTCATCGATGGTTGCTGCAGATGCATGTGCGGCGGCCTGCTGACAAACGGCTGTCGTCCAAAACGAGACGATTGATGAATCCTTTGCTCAGTCTCCTCCGATGATGCCGTGTGGCGGTGCTGCGACGTCGCAAGCTTTCAAACAGCATTCGCCAACTCCTGCAGAAATTTGGGTGCAAAACCTGATTGCGTTTGCCTCCCCGTCAACACTGGGCTTTCGCACAGGTATTCGGTATTCTGTTTCAATCGCGGACTACCAAGTACAGAAACCTAAAAGGGCCTGGCCATACAAAGCCAAAAGCTACACGTCCACACAAGAGTGCACGTGAAGTCATCCCACTCGCCGTCATCTCTGTCAGTTTACACTTTCGGTGCCTGCTCTCCTTTATGCATCTTCTGGACGTGAAACTCGCCTACATTTTTGTCCTGGGCTTTGAGGACATGGACGGGCTGAGTCATCCTTGCAACTGCAGCACTGGCCACCTGACAGGAGAGCGGTTCTTCCACAGAGCTTTCAGGGCATCTGCATACGGCCAAAGGTGACACTTTTTGCCGAACCAACACAGACACCACGAAGAATCAGATGTGTTCGTGTCCTGGCTTAGCCAAGACAGCGGTTCTGACGGTTCTGATTCTGCGAATCTCAGAGATCTTCTTTGTCCTGACCAGGGCAGAAGCCGCTTGTCACTGCAATCCGCAAGAGACATGACCAGCGCCGAGCCCGCCTTCTTCATGCCAAGCTCCATCATCAGCTGCTGTATCTTCTCCATGCCTTCTTGAAGCTTCACTTGCTCACGGCTCTCTCGCACTCTGGACTCTGGCCTGCGAAGGTCAAGTCGCACAGTTTCTGCTCGGTGCAAAAGTCGCGGACTTCCTCGCCCAGCGAAACAGCCTCCGTAGAGCAGTGTGACAGAAGAGAAAACTTGCTAGAAGTGCAGAAGCGAATGAGCTGAAAGCATCCATCATGTCGCCAATGTTCTCTTTGACGACGCGGTTGCACACCATAAGCACGTCCTGATCCCGAAAAGTGTTGTTTGCAACTCCTGTCCTCTTAGCTGTCTGACGGTCCTCCTGGATGACGTCCATCTGCCTGGCCAAGGCTCCGCTCCTAGCGGTCCTAGCGGTCCTAGCGGTCCTAGCGGTCCTAGCGGTCCTAGCTCCAGGCTCAACCGGCCTCGAGATCGGAGCCGCAAGCTCGGAACATAAGTCCAGCAGGACTTCCTGCGTTTGATCCTCCCCAAAGGCTCAGTCGGTCACAGGATGTCATAGCTTCTGCAGCAGAAGCGAAATTCATCTCCTGGTCAAACCTCTCGTGGAGCGGCTTCTTCTTGTTCAGCTGGTGCCTCACGGCACAAGCAAATTACGCCGAGACTTCGAGTCTTCGGAGTCAGTTTGCACTGGCGTCTCCAGGACGGTCTTGGTCAGAAGGTTGCAAAGGACACAACTAAGCCTCAGCTTCTACAAGACCACCAATCTGCATATCCGGGCTTCGACACTCTCATTGGAAGGAGCTGCGCTTTTCCTCGCTGGATGGCCGCCTTGTCGCTTTCATCAAAAGTGGTCGCGGCCTTGACACCAAGTTTGCAAGCACACGCCTTTGCAAGAGAGGATCGCGAATCAAACTTTCCAGGCTGTCCGGCCCACTTCTGATACTCATCGTCGGGAGCCTTGGGGTAAAGTCACCAAGCATCGAAGCCACTTGCAAGAGACTGCCTGCTGCAAAGTACGGCCAAGGTACGTCTGCATCTGCACATGTGCTAACCAGGAAGGCCACAAGAACTCTTAGGAGTCTCATGCTGATGAAAGCTCAGTTGCCTAAGCTGAAATGCTTGAAAACACTTTTTCAAAGCTCTCAACAAGATTGTTGTTGCCACTGAAGTCTGAGAATGTACGAAGACTGTAAAGGTGAAGGGCAACTCTATCACGTGGTGCTTTGCCGTGATCTGTGAGCCCGACCGGCTGAGGCCAGAATTTTCCAGACTGCCTTCACTGAGCTCTTACAAGGGTGAAGGGCAACTCTATCACGTGGTGCTTTGCCGTGATCTGTGAGCCCGACCGGCTGAGGCCAGAATTTTCCAGACTGCCTTCACTGAGCTCTTACAAGAGGGCCAGCCTGTTTTGGTGTCGTTCTCCCCTTCGAGCCAGGCCGTGTCAGAGCTTGAACAGCATTGGATAAGGCCTCGCAAGGTTTAGGAGTGTTGTTCCAGTCTCGTAACGTTATGTCGGAAGCTTAGACCCAGCGCGCCTGCGGACCGAACTCCGGCAAGAGGCTCAGAAGCCTATTCCATGCTCTGTGAAGCCGAGCCCCTTCCTACCAAAAATCTCTGGCCGCCCACATCAGCCGATCTCAAAGCAGCAGATGCCCCACGGAAACACAAGGCACAAGCAAGTCCGACCTTGCCATCATCTAGTGGCCGCCTGAGCCTAGCTGCGCACTCAAACCCCCAAATCCTAAAAGCTCATCTTGTCTCCTAGTGTGCCTAACAACTGCCTATGTCATCGGGTCTCCTCGGGCTGCTCCAACACAAAATCAATCGCCTTGTCGTGCTTTTTTTTCTTACACGTCCTGCTGTGTGACGTGAAATGTGCGCAGGAATAATATCTCTTTACTGCCGAGCTACTGCAGGCACTCGCTAACCTGCTCTGCATTTGGCCCGAGCCCGTCAGCCATTTCCGTCTCGGATGCACTTCCTGCCTCGTAACCACGACGAAGATGAACCCTACTTCATCCTCGCAGTAGGAGACACCGAGGCAAAACACGTACCGTACTACGGCGGCATGCCACGACGGCCTCCCCAAGCAATGCAAGGCGGTGGCCACATTGACCTGGCGGACAGTTAATGACCCCTGCTGCTTGCTTCGATGAGACAGCTCATCTTGAACCCTCTTCACCCTCGAAGGTCACTTGGTATCGCATCCCACGCTACTTCCGAGGCCAGGAGTTGCCACAGCTCATCTTGTAAAGGGTCAACGTCATCTGGTTCTACCTGTTCCTTCTCGCACGTTGGGGCTGGGAGGGAGTAGTGGACACGGACCTTGCTACCATGAAGATCGCAGATACCATGGTGATCAAGTTACGCATGACACTGCTCCACCCCTTTTCTGCACCGGCGCGTCCGGAGTCTATTACGGCGCACGGCCCTTGGGAAGGGGCAGCTGTGCTCAGATGTCGAAGAGCTGGTCCAGCAAGCGCCAGACCACACCGCTGCGGCGAACCTCGCACAAGACCCGCCCAAGCAGCCAAGCCTCGGACCAGCCCAGCCCCCACAGCGGGCCTCTGGTCTTCCCGGTCCCAGAGTCAGACCTCGAACTAGTCTCGGCTTCTCATTTCGAGCCCGGAACTTGCCACGTGCCTGCAGCGCTTGCTTGAACAGGTGGTACCTGCAGGCTCATGGTGCAAATCTCCGACTCTCGTGGAATGAGCAAGATAGCATGCGATCCCTCCGGCACCGTGGGGAAATTTGCGAGGTCATGCATGGAAACGAACAGTCTCTAAAGATGGCCAGCACAGCTCAAGGCCTCCGAAACCCCGCAATGACACTCATCTGTAACACGAGAGTGGACGCTCTTCATTGAAGTGATTCCAAGGCTGTGCCAGACTCGCCCCTCTTACAACAAATTCGGGGATGCTCTTGCTCCATCTGTTGCAAGGAGCACCTCTTGCTCGTGGCAGTGGCCATCTTCGGCGAAAAGGGCCTCGACAAGACGGAGCCAGAGTGGCACAGCAAAGACATAGTTCCCCACGCTACTTCCTAGCCATTGCGGTATTGAGTCGATGACAGCACGGGTGCAAGGAACACAACCCACCTCAGCTGGGCCAGCATTGTAAAAACTGCTGATGCTGCCTGACACCTGAGAGACAGTCCATCAGCTTCCCAAGAAGGAGCTGTCCATTTAGAGCCAAGCAGGCACTCGCTGCCTCCGAACAGATCTGAACAGCCGCAGTGCATGTCGACTAGACTAGAGTCACCCGGGGCAGAAAGAGCCTGCGAGCTTGCAAAGCATATGTGCACGAAGTTTCCATCGCCGTGGCACACCTCAGACGCAGCGAGCGACCCGCCCCAATTAACAAACACAACACATCACAACAGACGGAACTCAAGTGTCGCTTTAACTGCTCTTTTGGCCCCTTTGCCTCGACGATTGGCCCGCAGATCGCTTCCAGCTGCTGTCGCACCGCTGATGCCTCAGCTTGGCCGTGAGATACGTAATGTCGTGGTACTCCCACCATTTTTTGTTTCTAGAAAGGAGGGGGCTTAGGCTTTCACGAGTCGGCTGGGGAACCCGAAGACGGTGACCTCCAAGCGCAATGCAAACACGAACAAGGAAAACAATCTGTCAGCAGTTCTGGAATCTAAGTCTCGCACCCAGCAGCTACTGGAGCCTATCCTCCCCGGCCTCGCAGGGTCGCATCGGGTCTGGAGTCGGTGACCGAGGTCGCCGAGGCCGTGGCTCGCTGCCAAGGCCGCCAAGGCCGCCAAGGCCGCCAAGGCCAGGGCCGTCCTCGGCAGAAAACAAGCGCCAACCGCCGCTACCCACTCCAACCCCTACGAACGGACCCAACACGCAAAGCTTGCGCCTGCGCAGGAGGATGCAGCAATAGGCTGTGACCCCAACCTCGAGACCAACAATCCAGAGACCAATCCAGACTATCTGAACAGGGCTCAGTCTTCTCCACCTTCGACATCCGAGACCTGCACCTGGACTTCGTCCGCCAAAGGACCCGTCCCTGACCGGCCAGGTGGCCTCACGGAAGCTTCACAGCACATCAAAATTAGCTTGCTGCAAGCTGGGGGAGGCCTGCGAAGCTGCAGCAGGAGTGTTGGCAACACCTTCAACAAGCGAGTGACGACGGGCGATACCGGGGCTCATCAGACTGAATGGCATACAACCAAGGTTGCCACCCACAGAGCTGCCAAGCGCCTCCACCGGAGTGGCAAGGCTCCACTGGCTCAGAATATCATAAAGGAACCTGCGGCCACTGCCTGCATTGAGAATATCTTGGGGACCTCGTCGGCGCCATCCTCCACCATAGCCTACGAAGCACACAAGTCTGCAACGACGTGAGTCATGGCCCCAGCAACGAGCTGACAAACACTGAGACTCGCTGTTTCACTGCGGCCTCATCTGGAGCCCCCACCCTGGAAGCTCCACCGCCTGCGCATGAAGGTCTTCTGCATGCCCTGCACCTCTTTACCCTGACTGTTGCGGATGACTTCCGGCCTTGGTACCCCAAGCTGTTGCCTCCGAATGCCTCGAGCACGGAAGACCCTCCGTGAGCTTTTGTTTACATGGACGCAACCCAAGGCCTCGAGGAGAGTCGGATTTGTCAGCAAGTCTCTGCCTGTTTCCTGCAACACGGGTGGAAGACCTCTGCCCGCCCGGATTGCGTGCGACTGCCACTTCGGTCAGCGTTGGCCTGCTGCCGCCGCTGTCCAAACATGATGCCCCTGCATTCACGCTGTCTGCATCGGATGAATCTGGGTCTCCTGCAACTTAAACACACATTATGGCTGACATGCGAAAATGTCGGCAGGTTCCTGTGTGCGTGTATTTTAATATTACGTGGGGCTGTCTTGCAGTACCGCAACTTGGCTTGTGGAGCTTAAGTAGTTTCGCACACATGAATACACATCAGCACATGGCCTTGAGCAGGTACAGATGCTAGCTTCGGCATGAGGCAAAATCGAACAAGCTCAGAAGACAAAGCTTCCAACAGTTGGCAGGCGCACGACATCCATCTCTGTGGCCCGTCCGACACAAATCTGCACAATGCTGTCCTGGCACGTTCACATGCAGCACATGCAGCACAGGTGTCCAAACACACCACCACTGGTCTTGTAGGGCAACTACGGCATGAGGAGCCAAGAGAATCTTCCGGTTGATCAGAACCTGCACCGAGACGGACTATCGCAACAAAACAAAACCAGAGGTGCCGTCAACATCCAAGGTCGTGACGGGTATTGGTGGGCGCGTTTTAACGGGGTACATGCCATTACGAAATGCAGCTACCTCTACTTGTAAGAGCGTATCATCGCAATATGTTCGTGACGGACAAATAGCCATAAAGCTGACCCGATGACAACGTTGCTGCTCGTAAGGACTCTTCAACTTGAGCGGCAACGTGCCGATTCCCAGCTTCATGCAGTCACAACACCTAGTCATGCAGCTGCAATCAATTGAAGACCGGTTTGGAAAACAAGTGCTTGTGCTTCACCAGAGCCGACAAAGGCTTGGAAAACATCGCTTGCACTCCCTCATCCATCAAAGCGTTGACATCTTTTTTTGTAGATTAGCTGGGCCATCGTCAACCTGTCAACCTGCATGTGTTGCCAATGCATCACTGGGTGAACTACTACCACTTCTTTGAAATTGCAGAACAAACAGCCATGCTACAAATTGGACTCGATGCATGACATGTTCGAAATACTGAGATGGCTCGTGAGCTCCGCGCGGGTCCTCAGGGTGCCTTTGAAGCTCGCGGACCCTGTGCAACGGTTGATCCAAAGTTGCTTGCTGTCAGCGATCACAATGGACAATCGCGCGTCCATGGGCAATCCCACTTTTGTGCAGATCATGCAGACAATCCAGTCAGACCTTCAATCTTGTTGCAGCACTGGCTCAACTTGCCCAACACAAGTCGACAAGTGGTGAAATGATTGTGCTTCGTGCCACTACTTCTAATTTAGAGCTCCCACTGGACTGTCACCTCAAACCTGCGCTACAGCCACGAGTTCATTTGTAGACATGGAAGACACGTCCAAAGGAACAAGAGCCCAAGAAACATGAGAGCAT